ATGATCTCGTCCAGTGATAAAATGTGAGGAGTAGGCAGTTTTTACTCATGCAGTCCGAAGTTCAAGTTCGCAAACACGATAATATATTCAGATAAAGGGTGATGTGTTCATAGAATGATAAAAATAAGTGACTTCATTTAGGCGAATATCTCCATAGTTTGTATTCAGAATCCTTTTGAAGCTTCGTTGTAAATATCGGTATGTCCGGGAGCCCAGTCGGCTAACACAGCTCACCGCAACGAGATACTCTACTGACTTATATCCAAGAAAATCTTTGTCCAACCCGTCTTTCTTGCCGCGCAATTGCATTTCTCTAGCATTTTTTAACTGTTGCTCTCAGTACAGGCAAATTTTTACCGAGGTATTTATTTCATCTCTGAGAATTGCCATATTTGACCTATTTATTCAAATATTAACTCTGGGTCATTCCGCGCAAGCTTGACTATAATGGAGGTCCAGTTAGCCGCGAAAAGCAAAAGCATGCTCTTGGCATCTGAATCACATATCCTCAGACTCAAACCTAGCTTCAAGTTACTAAAAGCTGGGAGGAAATGACCTAATTTCACGGGAAGACTCTGTGTGCGGCCTGACGCAGGGCACGTTTTTAGTCGACACAACTCAACCAAGTTTAAACAGTCTTTCGATTTTACCCTTTTACTCTAGCCTGCAATATACTGACCAAATGATTCTAAATTTCGGTTGTCGGACTCTTATATATGGGCTCTCCAATTACTGAAAGTTTACTTAAAATGCTCGCAATGGCGCTAATCCGCAACAATGTTGAATAGAAATCGTTAACGAGAAACAAAGAAACTAAGCATGCCGCGAGTGTTTCTACTATTTTGGCAATGGAAACGATGCACAGTCAATGAACTATTTGTATTTAAGCAGCAATAAGACTAAAACTAACATACATTCCAGTGTCTCACATCACCTACTCTGAAGGAAAGGACGGACGTGGACGTCGAAAGGTTTCCGGCTCTACCAAGAGACATTCCACGATCGAGAGAGGCAATGACAGTTTGTGCAGCCTTCAGGATAGGCAAGAAGGTTAATGAACAGTCTGAAACTGTCCGACCTGGACCTATCGAGATAGTTTTTGATAACAAACAACAAGGGCACATTCCCAGGCCAAAACGGACATGAGGGCTTCAATAAGCGCTGAACCTGGCAGCGAATCTGTCCTAACAAACCCTAGTGAAGCAGAAGGGGACGACAGTCGGAAGGTGAGTACCACTCGTATAAACTGCATAGTCATAAGAGGCATGACGGAAGGTACTTCCGATACCCCAAAATCAAGATTAGAAGAGGAC